ACTTCTTAAACTTCTCTTCTTGTTTAAGCTTCAGGCTGTGCTCAGATAACACAAAGCTCACACTGCTGCAGGGAGAGCTGTTCAAACTGTCTCTTGTAGCACTTCCTTCTGTAAGACATCGATGTTCGAGTCCCTCCACCACCCCATTCTGATAGAGATTATCACGGAGCTCCCTGGGAAGATTATTCCCAGCTGAAAAAAAAAGAAAAAAAAAGAAAACACACAAAAAAAAAAAAAACCAGTTTTCTTATGAAATTCTTATCTGCACGCTCCATGCTCCAGCCCAACAGCCAGGCAGAGGGCAGAGGCTGTGAGATGGGATCGCTGCTGGGATGGCCCTACCAGCAGCATCACTGCTGGTTGGCTGAGCATCCGACAGCATTTTTTGTATCAACTCCTCATGCAAAAGTTTCTTTGTATTCAATAAAGGCGTTTCCGGATCGAATCCCCCTTCTTTTGCCTTTGCTTTTCCCCGCAGTGCCGGACAGCCGCCACCAGATGTCCCCTTCGCACAGCCGCTCAGCACACGCTCTTCGTGGCACACGCGTGTGCAACCCCACTGGTGGGCCTTGAGCCCCATGCAACCCTCCCTCAGCAGCGGGGAAATCCGCGTCTCGCTCGCCCTGGAGATTCCCCAGTGTCTCGTATAGGGTTTTGCTCAGCCTTACCCTGCAACAAGGGGCACAGCCGGAGGAGAGCCGGGCCCATCTGTCTGCTGTCACTTGACCTCATCAAAGCCTTGTAAAACAATAGATGGGGCAATGAGCCGCAGGAGCCAGATTTGCCATCTTTAGCCCCGAGCTGCTGTAAAACTCACCCAGCAGGCACAGGGCTCTGCTGGCATTAGGCACTGAAGGGCCTGGGGTACCCCGGTGTGAGGGGACCCCCGAGCTGCCATCAGCTCCCACTCCCAAGCACATCCACCCAACCTTCAGGCTGAGGTATGAAGAAGAAAGGAATTTTCTTTTGTGCTAGCAATAAATAACTTCCCTGAATTAAGCGAATCTCCTGAAATGATATATAATACGCTGCTTGCCTGATTGGCTGTTATTAATAATGCATTGCTCAATCTAAACCATTCATAAAATGACTCCCTGCTAGCCCTCAGCAAAGTGCTTTGGGACTTGGTTTAAAAAAAAAAAAAAAAAAAAAAGGCAAGAAGGAGCAGCATAAATCCTTTCTGTTTATGAAAATGGATTTCTTCCCCCAACACTCATGCAAAACTAATTAGAGCCAAAGGGCCAGTTCCTCTGCATTTGATTATAGCCTGCAAGATCACTCAGCTTGGATGGCCTGGGTGGGGGGAGGTCCAAGGCAGGGGAGTATTTGCTCCAGCGAGCTTGAGAAAGGTTAACTGGGTTAGGTGGTTTTATTAAATGTTTATCCCTTCACAGCAAAACACGTTTAGATCCCAGGGGGCACCAAGAGCAAGGATAGGGTAGTCAGGATTCTGTTAAATGTTTGGAGAAAGGTGATGCAAATTCAACAGAGAAACCATATCACCTCCAGCCATGCTCCCAGCACAGAGAATTGATGCCCTCACCTGACCTGAAGGGAGATAAAACGTGGCTAAAAGCTAAAGAATCCAGGAGAACTCACACTGGAGGCTTGCTCTTCTCCTTAAATAACCAATGCCATGGGGAGGAGGATTCCTCCCCTTGATGCTTCTAGGCAGCAGGTGGACATTATAGGTTGTAAACCAGCAAGCCCTCATTCAATCAGTGATTCCTCCAGCTGGGAGGCTGCTCTCACCTACGCCATAGGAGCCACTGCATTGATCAACACCAGCTGAGGATCTGGCCCTCGGCACAGCTATTCACATGTTTAGGGGCTTGCAAAGTCAGGGTGTCTGGGGCTCAGGTGGTGTGAGCAGGCTGAAATCTCTGGAGCCATCTGTCCAGACATCCATGTACCCATCCATGCATCTATTCATCCATCCGTCCATCCAAGTGTCTGTCCATCCTTCCATCCATCATTGTGCACATCTGTCCATCTATTCATCCGTGTACTCATCCATGCATCTATTCATCCACCCATCCAAGTATCTGTCCATCTTTCCATCCATCTCTGTACTCATCCATGCATCCATCCATCCATCTAGCCATCTGTCCATCCATTCACCCATGTACCCATCTATGCATCTATTCATCCATCCACATATCCATCCATCCTTCCATCCAACTATGTACCCACCCACCCATGCATCTACGCACCCACCCATCCTCCTACCCAACCATCTATTCTTCTGTCCACACATCCATCCATCCATTCATCCATCCACACATCCATCCATCCACACATCCATCCATCCATCCATCCATCCATTCATCCATCCACACATCCATCCATCCACACATCCATCCATCCATCCATCCATCCACCCACCCACCCATCCACACATCCATCCATCCATCCATCCATCCATCCATTCATCCATCCACACATCCATCCATCCATCCATCCATCCACACTTCCATCCACACATCCGTCAATCCATCCATCACACATCCATCCATCCATCCATCCATCCATCCATCTATCCATCCATCCGTGCATCCGTGCATCCGTGCATCCACATCTCCATCCTCCTCCATCCTCTCTTGGAGGAGAGCTCCAAGCCCTGCTTTTATTCCAGGCGCCCTCCCCCATGGGAAACTGAGGCACAATTGCATCATCCATCCCGCCATGCTCAGCTCATCCTGTGACCCATTTTGAGCATAGTGTGCAGCCTCCAGTGCTCCCTAAACGTGTCTCGATGCCAGATCTGGGACACTTGGGTTTCTTCCTCGTGCATGATGAATGAAGGCATCTAGGGAACTGCTAGCAAAGTGCAGCAGCTGAACCAGAAAGCAAGAATCCTCTTGGTGCTGGCCACATCCCTATGGCATTTTAACCTACTTTAATGCACCTGAGAGCATCTTGCTAGCCTTGCATCCCTGTGTCTTGACCTCCACAGCCCAGATCCCCGCTGACAGTCTGTGGGCGTTCAGAGTGAGCAGAATGGGAAAAAATGCCTATAAAACTCAACTCTGAGCCTGCGATGCCGTAATTCCCTGAGCTGCAGCTTGCTGGTGTCTTTGTGAGTGTCACACTGGGAGTGAGGGCATGCTTGGGCTACCAGCCAGCGAGATGGGAAAGCAGTGAGTCACGTCTCAGCCCCACTGCAGCCCAGGATGCTGGAGATGTGCTCTCTGCTGCATGTTTAGCTCAGCCCTTTCCTGGCCAGCTGTTTAGCTCTGCTGCTGTCCCCACATGCAAGGTTGGCTGCTGCCACACCGAGGCCATCTGCTCCCCGGAAGCAGGAGGAGTGACAGGCCACTGTCCTTTCTGCACAGGCTGCATTGCTGCTTCTGAAAGCACATTGTGAGGTTGGTTGCTGGGAAATAAAAGGAGTCCATCCTGAGGTGGGAGCATCATGGTATGTGCTGTGGCTCTTCCACCAGAGCAGCATGGGGATGTTGGTGGGGCTGGTTCCGACCTGTGCCATGATGGGACAGACTGGGGGGCTTGGAGACCCTACAAGGGTGAGGTTCATTCCCTCTCTGCCCCCCAGAAGGGAGCACAACCATCCCCATGGCATCAGGGCAGGGATGTGGAGCTGCGCCCGCAGCATGGAGGGTGAGGGGATGAGGATGTTCCTTTGCTTGTGAGACCCCCACAGAGGGACAGCCCAGACTTGTGGAGCTGTGGGACAGCAGGAGGGGCAGGATGAGCCATAGGGGCCAGGGGACCTGTGGCAGAGGAGTGGATGGAGGGAGGATACAGGGAGAGATGGAAGGATAAAGGCAGGGATACAGGGTGGGATGGAGGGAGGGATGGAGGAATACAGGGAGAGATGGAGACAGGCAGGAATCGATCCCACTAACAAAATCAATTATTCATCGTGTTTCTCATGGAAGGGCAGAGCCGGGAGAAGAGACCCCCACGTCGGGGGGAACCTGCCCACCTTCAAGTTTAAGGCTCCCCTCACTCAGCCAGCTCTACGCAGAAGGGAACCACCCCTCGGGGACGGCCGGTGTGGACACATCCTCCCCGCTCCCCCAGCACCGGAGCCCGAGCACACACGCAGCTCCCAAAGGGCGAATGCGTCCCGGCTCCGTACTTTGCCCCGACGGGAGCGGGAGGAGGAGGGTGGGGCGGAGAGACCGCATCCCAGCTGTTGCCGCGTGCGTGCGGGTTTTATCCCTTCTCGGCGGGGAGGGGGCTTCTTGGCGTTTCTTAGCTTTATTTTCGGGGTCTGCGAACGGCTGCGGGGCTTGGCGAGGCGGCGGTGGGTGGGTGGTGGGATGGGAAGGGGGCGGCCGTGCGGAGGGGGAGGCTGGCAGAAATGCTAATTCCTCCCTCCTCTCTCGGCTCCGCAGCCCCAGTGCCCGCCCGGCCCCGCTCCGGTGCGCAGCTCCGAACCCGGCGAGGTGCGGGGTGCCCCCGGCACGCCGAGCCCCTCACAGCCGCCTCCGGGCGCCTCCGGGCTGCGGGGAACGGGGCTGGGGAGGAGGATGCGGAGGAGCGGCAGCGGAGGGGAGAAGAGCTGCGTGTTGCTCAGCGGCACTTAGGAGCGGGTAAGGTGCGGGGTCAGCTCCCGGTGCGGAAGGGCTGAGGGGGGAACGGGGAGAAATGGGGGGAATGGGGAGAAATGGGGGGAAAAATTGGGAGAGAGGGGGGGAAAGGAGAAATAGCGAAGGGGAAAAGTAGAGGGAGAAGAAAGGGAGAAAAGTGAAGAGGAGAGAGAAGGGTGGAAGGAGGAAATGAAAAAAAAAAAAAAAGAGAGAACAGAAAAAGCAGAAATAGGAAAAAGAAAGAAATAAAAAGAGGGAAGAAAACGAGATCTGGGGGAGGAAAAGCAATAAGAAAGAAAGCCGGGAGGAGAAGGAGCGAGGGGGCGGGCGGGGATGCTGCGGGGGGCCGGGCACAGACAATGGGGCGCGTCCCCGCCGCCTCCCTCCGGGCGGCAGGGAACGGGGCGGGCACCCACCCAGCCCTTGTGTCCCTTGGCAGGGGACATGGCCCCGGTGCTGTGGTTGTGGCTGGCAGCCCTGCTGGGCTCGGCCCGGGCGTGCCCTGAGCCCTGCGCTTGCGTGGATAAGTACGCTCACCAGTTCGCCGACTGCGCCTACAAGGATCTCCAGGTGGTGCCCACTGGGCTGCCCTCCAACGTGACCACCCTCAGCCTGTCGGCCAACAAGATCACGGCTCTGCAGCGGCGCTCCTTCGTGGAGGTGACCCAGGTGACATCCCTCTGGTTGGCGCACAATGAGATCCGCGCCATCGAGCCCGGCGCCTTCGCCATCCTGGTGCAGCTGAAGAACCTTGACATCAGCCACAACCAGATCGTAGACTTCCCCTGGCAGGACCTCTACAACCTCAGCGCCCTCCAGCTGCTCAAGATGAACAACAACCACATGGCTGTGGTGCCCCAAGGAGCTTTCCACACCCTGAAGGACCTGCGGTCTCTGCGCATCAACAACAACAAATTCACCACGCTCGCCGAAGGCATCTTCGACTCGCTCAGCTCCCTGTCCCATCTGCAAATCTACAACAACCCCTTTGAGTGCTCCTGCAAGCTCCAATGGCTCAAGAAGTGGATGGACAGCACGCTTATCTCCATCCCGGAGAAGGAATCCATCACCTGCAGCCTCCCAGAGCAGCTCCGTGGGGTGCCGGTGGGGAAGATCCCAGATGCACAGTGCACCTCACCCTCTGTGCAGCTTACCTACTACCCCAACCTGGACACCACGGAGCTCTTTGATGGCTTCACCTTGACGCTGCACTGTGCCGTGACAGGCACTCCACCACCCGAAGTCAGCTGGAAGATCCGCACCTCCAGCCAGACCCTGGAGCTCAGTGGCAGCCCAAGTGAGAGCGCAGGGAAGGACCCCCCCAAACAGGACCCTGAGCGCTTCTTGGTCTTCAAGAATGGCACGCTGGTGATTCCTCACTTGAGCAAGCGGGAGGAGGGCACCTACACCTGCCTGGCCACCAATGAAATGGGGAGCAACCAGACCTCAGTCAATGTGGCAGTGGCTGGATCCCAGAAGTACCCGTTGCAGCCTGGCAGGGACCCAACGGGAGGCAAAGCACAGCCAGGTGACAAGAAGCCTGGAGCCAAGGGAGCGAAGAACAGTGTGCTCACACCCGATGAGAGGAGCAAACCCCTCAGCCCTACCCGGCAGAGCCACCCATCCTCAGCGGCTGGGATGGAGCCCACGGGAGACGGGAAAATCCCCTTCCAGCTTCCTCCCTTTGAGAAGAAGTGTGGCTCCATGCCAACCAGCAGATACATTTCCAACCATGCCTTCAACCAGAGTGGTGACTTCAAGCAGCACACCTTCGACTTGGGTGTGATCGCCTTGGATGTGTCGGAGCGCGATGCCCGGGTGCAGCTGACGCCCACCTACGTGCAGCCCGACAAGGTGCACCTGAGGATGCTCTACCTGTGCCAGGAGAGCAGCCGTGGCCACGCCTTGGTGCAGTGGTCCAAGATCGAGGAAGGAGTGAACTCATACTGGTTCCAGGGCTTGAAGCCTGGCACCAACTACTCGGTGTGCCTCACTTACCTAGGGGAGGACTGCCAGGTCCAAGTGGTCTTCACCACCAAAAAGGAGATCCCCTCTCTCATCATCATTGTGGTCGTGAGCATCTTCCTGCTGCTCCTGGCCACCCTCCCCCTGATGGGTGCCACGTGGTGCCACCTCCTCTCCAAATACCAGGGCAAAACCTACAAGCTGATCATGAAAGCCCAGAACCCAGACCAGATGGAGAAGCACATGGCTGCCGACTTCGACCCCCGCGCCTCCTACCTGGAATCCGAGAAGAATTACAACCCCAGCGAGGTGGGGGAAGGGGAAGCAGAGGAAGAGGACGATGATGAGGAAGATGATGACGAAGGAGGTAGGCGGAGGAGGAGGAGAGAAGCCGAGGAGACCACGGAGCTGGAGCGGGAGGAGAGCGTAGCAGCCAGCTCCATGGCGGAGTCGCAGTCCAAAGCCAATGGTGAGGAGTTTGAGGTGCGCTCCGAGTACAGCGACAAGCTGCCGCTGGGTGCCGAGGCTGTCACCATCTCCCAGGAGATCAACGGGAACTACCGGCAGCGTCCTCGCTGAACCCCCCAACCACTCCCCCGGTTCCCCACTACCCCCAGCCCCCCCAGCCCCTCGGGGAAGCTGCCGCTTCTCCTCCGGGGAAGGAGCAAGGAGAGATGGAAAAAATCCTCCCCATGCATCCTTCTTTCTCCTCTTCTTCCTCCTCCAGGCGGCAGGCCCTCGGGGAAGGGGTTCGGGTCCGAGGGGGCGGGGGGCGAGCGGGACGCTGATGTCCCAATTTCGTTTCCGTTCAGATTCAAATTGGTCTCCGCTGCCGCTGCGGCGCAACGATTCCGCATCCCCCTCCCTCCCGGTTCCACCGCTCACCCCTTATTTTCGGTCCGCTTGAAGGAAAAGAACGAAAAAAAAATCGAAAAGACGAACAAAATAATAATTAAAAAAAAAAAAAAAAAGCCAATCGGCGAAAAGCAAATACCCGATATCCCCCCCAAAACCGTTCCCCGGGTGCCGAGCTTGCGCTCAGCCCTCCTCGGTGCGGCACCGTTCAGCACCCGGCGGCGCTGGACAGCTCCGCGCCCCCCGCCCGCTCCCGGGGCTGCGGGGGCGGCCCGACCCCCCCCCCGAACCCCCCCGGTCCCCCCGGTGCCCGTCGATGTGTGTTGGGTAGAGTAGCGTTGTAGCAAGTGTCTGTGCCGTAGGCGAGCCCGTGCTGCTGGCGGGCGGGCGGGGTCCGGTGTCCGTGCCCACCCCCAGCCCCATCGGGAGGAGAGGGAACAACCCCCCCCCCGCCCCAACCTCCCTACCCCCCCAGGGAGCCCCGGGGCTGGAGAGAGCCGCGGGCGCCTTTCTGCGCCCTTCTGTCTGTGAAAGATTCAATAAAAGGAATTGAAAGTGCACCCGCCTCCGTGCTTGTTTAGAGGGGTGGGGGATTGCAGCCGGCCCCCCCACCCTCCCACCTCCCTCCGAAGTCCCCCCGGTGCCCCTCCGGCTCGGCTCGGCACAGTGTGGAGGTGGGAGATGGCGTGGGGCTGTGTCCTGCAGCTCCGGGAGGGACGCAAAGCTGCCTACGCGTGCCTATTTCTGTGCCTAGTGCGTGTAGGAGCACAGGGTATATTTATCTATAGGCACGTATCTAAAGCATACAGACATACACACACCCTATATATACACGATCAAGCTGTAGACACGCATTTGTACACTCAGTCCGTACACACCACATGAATAAACCTAAACGTATCACACGTACGAAAATACAGCAAACCAAATATACATTATACACTCTGTAGGCACTCCCTATATAGATATACACTATATAAAAACGCAAACAGTATTTTCACGGGGCCCTACAAGTGTGCCCCTACACGGACGCATCCCGGCACTACGTTGTCACCCCGAGTCCCCAAATGTCCCCACTCCCAACCCCGTGAAGGTGCCCGGTGCCATCGGACTGGATTTATGAACGTGGAGCTCTCCGCTCTCGCCCCACGGCTGATTTAAGCCCACGATTACATGGTGAAGATTTAAGGCTGCCTTTGATTGCCTTTCTTATCTGGAGCTGCGCTTGCAGCCGACCTCGCCCATATGAAGGGGACCGGGGAGACGCACGAGGGAGGGAGGAAGAGCAGCCCACAGCCCCCAGTGCCCACAGACTGGGAGCCAGGCACCCCGATCCCACCCACCCACCGTCCATCCATCCCCCCATCCTCCCTCAGCCACGCATTTCTCCAGCTCCGGAGCGCAGCATCCTATTTTAAGTCCGGCTCTGCTGGCTCTTCATCTTTCTCCTACGGCACGGGAAGAAGGCAGACAAAGCACCGAGGGGGCAGGCGGAGGGGTTTTTCCCCCCGAATCCCCCAAATCCTCTCAGTTCGAGGCTCTGCTATGGCAGCCCAGGTGTTTGCCGCAGTTTTTAAAAACATGTGTAAAGCAAGGAGCCCCCTCACCCCACCCCGCGCAGACAAATCCCCATCTGCGGATGCACTTTAATTGTGTTTCATGCCTAGGAATATACGAGGAATAGAAAAAGAACAATCATTCCTGCCTCCCTTTAATTAGGGGGTAATAGATTTCCCCGCCTAACGCATCTACTGGGAATCTCGCTGCAACGAGCTGCCTCCCGGTGCTGGATTGCTCCCAGATTTGCTCCTTTTCGGGAGGGTGCTCATTAACACCAGGTACCCGCAGGCATAAGGACAGAGCTCCGCATCCCCCCCCCCGCATCCCATGGACGTTTCTTCAGGCCGGTGCCGCCCCGAAAGGGTTAACGGGGCTCAGCGTGGTGGTTTGTCCCTTCCGAAGGCATTAACCCTTAGCCATGCCGCAAGCCCCGGCTGGAGCGGGACGTGCCCGTGGGTGACGGTGACCACATGCTCATCCCACGGTGGTGTCACAACCAGACCAAAAACCCGAGGGAAAGGCTGAACGGCAGCTCCGAACCTCGGCTGGGCGCCCGCAGCTCTGTGAGTTTGACCCAGATATCATGCGGGGACAAGGGTGGAGGGGAAGGTCCCGCTGCGAGCCCCCCAGTGACCCGCTCCGATCCCGCTAATCCCATCGCCCCGCACTATTTTTAACCCCGCTCACGGCCTCGGTTGTGTCTGCGCAGGCAGCAGAGAGCTGGAGCTCCGCACAGGACGGAGCTGGGGAGGGGGGGCGGAGGGTCCTGCGGGGTTTGGTGGCCCCACTTTGTTCGGTTGGGGACTCTTAGGGCACAGAGCAAGGGATGCTCTGCGCCCCGATGCTGTGTCCTCCTGCGTATCCACACCGAACTGGGCACGGTGCTGCGGGACAACCCCCCCCGGGACGGAGGGACGGGTTTGGGAGCCCTTTGCGCTGCCCTCCCCCACCCCCCCCAGATCTTTGGGGCCGGGAGCGGTGGGGCCGCGGGGGGAGGAGGGGCCGCCTGTGTGTTTTTTTTCCCTGCGATCCTCGGCGAGGCGAGGAGCTGGAGCGGGTCGGTGCCATGGAAAACAAAAGGGCCCGGGGGAGCGGGAGGGGGGAGGAGAAGCCGGGTGCGGGCCGAGGGATCCGCAGCCGCCAGCCCGGAGCCGCGGTGGGGAGAAACGGGCGCTCCGTCCCCGGGAAACGAGCGGTGCGGTGACGGGGCGCCGAGGAGGGGTGTCCGGGGCTGTCCGGGAGGCGGAGGGGGGGGTGTTATTCACTGCTCTGGTATGCGCCCGCCGCACCGCCCCCGGCTGCCGCGGCCCGGCCGGAGGGGAGGGGGAATGGCCTCCCCCCCTCACCGGGAAGCGCTGCCGGGAACCGGAGCGCGGGGATGGGGGGAGCGGGATGGGGCACGGGGGGACCCGCGGTGCGCGGCCGTCCTGCGCGGGGCCGAATCCGTGCGCGCACCCATCCTGCGCGGGGCCGATCCGTGCACGCACCCCACGGAGCACCCCAAAGGGGACCTCCTAGTGCCACCGGGCCCCGATCGCAGCCCCGGTGGTGGCTTCTCCCTGCAGGCTGGGGCCCTCTGCGCGCACCCTTTTGCAGGAGCATGGCTCACCCCCCTCCCCCGCTAAAAAAATAATAAAATAGTTGCGCGGCGTTTCGGTGCCCATCACCCTCTCCCCTCCTGCCCCGCAGCAGCACGGAGCCGAGACAAAGGGGTTTGGCTGCCAGCTCCTCGCTGAGTTAACTGCTTCCGCGGTGGGACCCGCGCAGCACAGCCTGCGCGCTGCTCTGCCGCCGCCGCGCCAGGCCAGCAAGGAGTTAGCTCTGCCCTCGGCACGTAAAGACTCCCAGAGCCCCCCCCTCCCCGGCGGCTGGTTGGAGGGCTGAGGGGCCCAGAGTTGTTGTTTTGAGGGGAGAAGGGCTGAGGATGGGAGAGAGGGTGGTGGTAATCCGCGTTAGGAGAGGTGCAGTGAGGTCTGAATGCAGAGCGCGGAACGCGGAGCTCACAGCTTTTATCCCCCAACAGGAGGGATGCAGGATGCTTAGAACAGGGGTAGGGGGACATTTTGTAAAGGAGCTGGAGTGGGAAGGAAATAGTTTAAGATCATGGAGGTAGCCAGAAGCTATTGGCATAGCCGTGCCTTGCTCAGAGTGGGGAATATTTCAAATATTCCCCATTACTGCAGAAAATTGCAGGGCTGATTCCTGTTAGAGCTTGGCAAGCACACACAGATCCCCTGCTGGCTACTCTCACGGCCACCCTCACGTCCCCTGTCTGTCCTCAGGAGGAAGGATGGGGCCGCTGCTGTGCTGCCTGGGCATCGCCGTGCTGCTGTGCCGCGGGCTGGCCTGCCCCGGGCCCTGCTCCTGCTCCACCAAGAAGAACGGGCGCCTGCTGGCCGAATGTGCCTACAAGGAGCTGCCCGAGGTGCCGCGGGGGCTGTCCCCTAACGTCACCATCCTGACACTGTCGGCCAACCGCATTGGCTGGCTGCGGCGCAGCGCCTTCGCCGAGGTGCCCGAGGTGCAGTCGCTGTGGCTGGGCTACAACCAGATCGGTGGTGCCGAGCCGGGCACCTTCGCCATGCTGTCACAGCTGAAGAACTTGGATCTGAGCCACAACAAGATGGTCACCTTCCCATGGCAGGACCTGCGCAACCTGAGCGGGCTGCAGATCCTCAAGCTGAACAACAACCGGCTGGCCGGGCTGCCCCGAGATGCTTTCCAGGCGCTGGCGGAGCTGCGCTCGCTGTGGCTCAATGACAACCAGCTCACCACGCTGGCTGATGGCACCTTCCATCCGTTGCCCTCGCTGTCCCAGCTGCAGCTCTTCAACAACCCCTTCAATTGCTCCTGTAAGCTCTTTTGGCTCAAACGCTGGGCTGAGAGCACTTCGGTGTCCCTCACCAAGGGTGGTTCCACGCTGTGTGCAGCGCCGGGGCGGATGCGGGGCCGGGCGGTGACCGACATCCCGGCTCATCAGTGCGTGGCTCCATCAGTGCAGCTCACCTACCTGTCTAAACTGGACAACACGGTGCTGCCTGATGGGCTGACACTCAGCCTGCACTGCAGCGTGGCGGGCAGCCCCCTGCCCCAGATCCGTTGGAGGATCCAGACCCCTGGGCACGGTGTTGAGATCGATGGGCCCAATGTGGCTCGGGATGGGAGCCTCTCCCCATCTGGGCGCATCAAACAGAGCCAGGAGCGCTTCTTGGTCTTCAAGAATGGCACCATGGCCATCCCCAAGTTCAGCAAGGAAGATGAAGGCACCTACACCTGCATTGCCATCAACGATGTGGGCACAAGAGAGGTGTCAGTCAACGTGGCCTTGGCCGGATCGGAGAATCCAGCTGAAGACCTGCTACAGGATGACCCCCACGCCAGCCCTCTGGGGGGACGGAGCTGCTACAAGGGTGATGAGATGGATCCTGTTGGTGCTGGGGAGAAGCTGGTCATTGTCTACCACGTGCCAAGGGAGGTGAAGGGCATGGCTGGAGAAGCTGTGCCCCGGGTTGGGCTGGTAACCCTGCTGCTGGCCTTGGGCATCGCGCTGGGCTGGTGAAGGGGAGCAGAGACTGGTGCCAGGGCTCCCCCACTTTCTGTATCATTTACCTTCACATAGTGCCACGTGTTTGCTGAGCTTTTGGAACTGCAGGCGGGCGCCAAAGTGGTCGAGAGCTGAGCCCAGGGCTGGTCCAACCCCTGCGTACACAGGGGCAGGGCTGGAGCTGAGAGCTCCATCAAGGCTTGGGTGATGTAGGGTAGATCCACACTGTGCTGTTGCTGCAGGGCCAGACAGCCTTATGGTGGGGTCCTTTAGAGAATGGAGGCAGCACAGTGCTTCTTTGTGTGATTGATATGGCAGGAGAGGTGCAGAGCACCCGGTACCAGGCATGGATCAGGCCATGAGGAACAGGCTAAGCCTTTCCTGCATAGGACTGGTTGGGTGAGGGACTACCCATGGTGTCGTGCCCTCCCTGTGTCCCAGGACCAGGCCACCCTCACTGCCTCACACATCTGTGATGCAGATGTTTTCCCCTCCATTCACCACCAGAGCCCACAGTCCAAACCCCTCGGCCGGGCCGGTCCCACCGAGCTGCACTGCTCAACCCCACAGCTTCAGCAGGGGGAACAGAGACCAAAGAGACCACATGAAACCAATTATCCCAAAGTGCCTTACATCTCTCTGCAGGACATCCACGCTGTGTCCCTGGTGCTGTGGGCTCATGGTGGGACCGCCGAGCATCCCTCATGTTTTCTGCTAGCGTGTGCCTGCAGGAGCCATGCAGACTCCTGTAGCCTTGTAACCAAAGCTGTGCCACCAGCTGTGTACCAAGCACAATAAATACCTTTTGTAAACCAGCCTGCTGCCTCTGTGCCCCCCACAGCTCGCTCACAGACCGGAGCAGGGAGGAGAAGGCAGAGAAGCAAACAGCTGTAAAGCAGCTGTTGGAGCCCGGGGCCTCTGAGTAAGCTTTCCAGCCCTATTTGGTTTCTTTCATAGAGGCAGGGAGCACCCCCCCTAGCTGCACAGCTAGTGAGCAGACACATATTGTTCCCATTACAGGCAGGAAAAACACCGCGGCCCCAGTACAAGCGCAGGGAGGACAACGTCCTGTGCAGTTTCGCTTTCATTTCATGGGATGCAATGCTTCCTTCGGGCTCTTTCTGCATTCTGGAGGCAGCTCTCCCCATAGGCATATCACCCTGTTGATGCTCTCCCTTCCATGCATTCAGGGATGGGGCTGGCAGCTCAGTCCTACACACGGTGTGGGGTCTGGGAGGAGGGCCACCACCCTGCTCAGTTGCCTTCCGTGCCCATGGCAGTGCATCCATGTGTTTGCAAAGGCAGATTTCCATTCTCCACATTTGTGTTTTAAGTTTCTGTTAACCAGAGGAGCTCCTGACCCACCTTGTGCAGGCTCAGGCGTGTCACAGAGGGTGGGAAGAGGATGGTGGCCCTGGGGACATGTGGGGACTGAGCCAGACGCCCGCCTGCAGCCGTACCAGGGCTGTGTGCAAAGCAGTGAGCTTGCAGGGGCAAGAAGTCGCAGCAAAAGGCTTAGTTCACCCTCAGGGCACCCTGATTATGCCAAAGGAGGGGAAAGAAAACAAAGAGTGAAGCCATCTCCTGTCATCTGTCAACTTGGTCCCAGCCAAGACATCTCCAGGAAGCCGCAGGCTGTGTAAACAGATGCAGAGCAGCAGCTCCACCCATGGCCCGGAGCTGCAGAACGTTACAGGGCTTTCCACTGCCTTTCCCTGAGCCCTGGCAACTGTATGGTGCAGCTCTGAGACCCCACAGGTGAGGCATCAGCAGTTCCCAGCATCATCAGTTCAAGGGTGGACTCCAACACCCTGTTGTTACCCAACCACTGAGTATGACCAAACCAAAGTCTTTCTGGGGCTTAGAGCAGAGATTTTATCGTGTGTCTCCATAAGGTCAAGCAGATCCACCAGAACACCGCTGTGACCATCCTGATGTCCCCACTCTGGGTGTCCCCAGGTGTGCCACACCCTCACCAAAGAGAGCAAGCACACTCCAAGTGTAGCAATGAGGTATACGATTTATTGTTCTTCCCCAGCTCGGCATGGCCCAAGGAGGCATGATGCTGTTCTATGGGCTTGGGGCTGGCTGGTCCTGGAGAACAGCTAACTTTGAGAACAACGGGGATGGCAGCATGGGAGGAAACAGCCCCAGTAGGGTAAACTGGAGGATGAGAGCTATGGGAGCCCCAAACGAACCGTTCTGCAACCTCCCAGCACAAAATGGAGCACACGAAATGGGAAAAATCCATGAGGATGATGGGGATGGTGATGGCGGAGGGGACCTCAGTGGACTTATCTCAGAAGTGACCCTAAGAGGACTTTTGGGATGGCTGAAGGGTCTAGCTTGGCTCTGCTCCCAGCTTGGGCTTAGACTGGCGTGCCTGGATTGTGTCATCACCTCTGCATCCCGCATGGCCCCAGAGCTACAAACCAGTGCTGTCACTGCTGGAGAGGGACAGGAGTGCCCTCCCCCTTCCGTCATGGGAGGAAAGTCAACGGGACGCAGGATGGGACAGGAGGGAAGAGGCAGGGGGTGGAGGTCAGGGCTTGGGAGGGCTGAGCTGGGCTCCGTTGGCTGTGGGATCGCAGAGGGCAGTTTTTCTGCAGGCCATCAGTGAGGGGTTGTTGAGGAGGGTGTAGGCCAACCACCAGCGTGCCCGGCTCCGTTTCAACCGGTCTCCTCCTGATGGTGCCTTCTTGGTGTGCATCAGCTGGAGGCCTGGAAGGAGATGGCAGTGGGAAGCGTGTTCTGTGTGCTGGAAGACCCTGGCCTGACTGTAGGAACTCACCTTCTTCCAAGTCCCCCATCCGGGGCTCAGGTGGCCCCTGTGGCTTTGTGGGCTGGAGGAGCAGCAGGCAGAAGGCTCTCATCAGTGGGTGTGACTGGCTGACCTCTGTCTTCAAGTAGTGGCAGTATGCGTGGTAGCCTGGGGGACAGCCCATAGGAAAAAACACAGTGGGGTCAGTGTGATCCACTGCTGATTGATGAGCACAAGGACCTGGACCCACCCTTGGACCCAGCAGGTGATGGAGGAGCCCTAAATGCAAGCCCTGGGAACTTAAGTGGCCCTGTACTGCTGGGGGTCCCCATTAGAGCTGATGGAGGTCCCCATGCCAGGGCTGCCCCTTGCCCTACCTGGGTCAAATGTCTCCACACCGCGGTTCAGCAGGCTGATGTCCAACTGGCAGAAGTGGATGGTGTTGTAGAGGGCAGAGATAACCATCCTCCAGACCCCTGCCAGGACCCCTACCAGCACATTGATGGGAAACAGCAGATAGGTGACGATGTAGAGAGCTCGTCTGTGGATGAGAAAGGAGGAATAAGGAACACAAACAGCCTAGGACAGGGAACACAGCCCTTCCCTACCCGAGGAAGCTGCCAAAATAAACCTCCCACCCTTCCCTCCCTCCCTGACCGACACCATCCCTGACTGAGATGGCTCCATCCCACAGAAAGATGTGAACGCCCTTCTGGTGTGTGGTCAGGACTTAAAGATTTGCCTCCAGCACAAGTAGGGTCTCCATTTCTTCTTAAAAGGATCATGAGTCTGGGGCTTTGGGGTAGAGGACACATGGCACCCCAAAAGCCCACACTGCGGGGCAGCTCTGCCCCATAGAGCTCACATGGCCATACCTGTTGGTCAGCTCTTTCCGCAGGGGATGCTGCTCCAGGAACTGGTAGTGAGCAGTCACGTTCTGCACGATGACAGCCACCACCAGGGTCAGCCAGAAGGGCCTGGCCGGAAGAGAAGATGATTCATAGAATCATTAAGATTGGAAGGACCCATAAAGTCATCCAGTCCACCATGCCTGTGACCGTTCTAGACCTCGTCACTCAATGTGACATCTACCATTTTCCTGAGCACCTCCCAGGCTGGTGACCCCACCACCTCCCCAGGCAGCCTGTGCCAATGCATTGGCACTCTTTCTGAGAAATATTTCCCAATATCCAACCTGAACCTCCCCTAGTGCAACTTGAGGCCATCACCTCTTGAGGCCATCCTCCTAAAAGCTGGAAGGCGGGAGGGGAGACCATCCCCACTGCACACGGTGCAGCCTCCCCTTGGTCAGACACCCTATAAATCATTATGGCCTTGGCTGTGGCACCCAGCTGGGTTGTCCCAAGCGCTCACCACATGTTCTGCACAATTTTGAAGAGGTATGAGCTTGTGCCAGACTGCAGCGGGATGATGACAAGAAAGGTGAAAGCAGCAAAACAGATGAAGAAAATCACTTGCTGGATGAGGAGACCTGGGAGGGAGGCAAGGGGGAAAGTAGCTGTCACAGGGAAGGGAGGAGAAATGGTCCTTGTTCTCCTTCCCACCCCTGCGCTTGTTTCTGAGCACGCCTTTCACTTTAATCCCATAATAAGCACGAGCCGTCCCTGCCTCCCCCGCTCCGCGCACAATGCTCTGTGCGGGATCTAATTACAAGTTCAGCCTCTCTTATCGCGCCCTGCTTTATCCCCACGGAGAGGAGCCATCTCCGGGGGCTGCGGCTGTGATGCCTCATCATAAAATCAGCCCGAGCTGTGATTTCTAATCATAAATCACGCCGAGAGCGGCGGCGGCTGCGGCTCCCCGCGCCATCGGATGCCGCGCTCCACCTCGAGTGCTCTGCTTTGCAGCTGGGAAATAGGGCTTTAAGGCATCGCACCGGGCTGAGCCTGGGCGGGATTTCTGTCCCATCTTACACCCCTTGGCACAGACTTTGGGAGGCGACGGCTGGGACTGAAGGAGACAGACAGGCCTTTGCATGAGATGCCGCGACTGCTTCGCGGATCAAAATGTCTGGGCTGGAGCCAAGGCGGCTCTCACTCCCCCTCCTCCAGACCCCTCTTTTCTCCCACCATTTGGTCCTCCCCGCAGAAGGACAGATTGCGTTGAAGGAATAGATGAACAAAAGCCCCAGAGCTTTGCAAAATGGGGCCAAAAAAGGGGATTCTAGCTGCTTGAATATGAAGTTCCCTCTCGGAAATGGGGTTCACCACCTCCTCCCACCTCATAGCCCCCCAGAAACACGTACCCAGGCAGGCAAAAGCTGTCTGGAAACTGGCAAAGCTCATCCAGCAGACAACGGCTTGTCGGGATGGGCGGAGGATGTGGGCTTTGTAGAAGACATCCAGCACAGCCCCTTGGTACAGAACCTTCAGGTTGCTCCTGCAGGGGAGAGAAGCCAATGCTGGACTGGGGGACAAGGATAGGGACATGGCATGGGTGATGGAGGGGGCACGGAGCCCTACCTGTGCATCACGAGTGTCCTCAGCAGCATGGCAAGGGTCAGCAGACAGCACAACACCAGCGAGCACACGTAGCACACTGCAGGGAGAAGATAAGGAGCTGGGCTTTGTCCCTAAGGGAGCAGGGCTTTGTCCCTAAAGGGCTGCAGGCATTTCCCTGAGAGCATCACACAGCAATAGGTGCTGGTGCTGTGTGGATGGATCCCCAGGCAGTGCACCTTGCCTCAGTTTCCCTCCCCATCCCTTTTGCAATATGAGGGGAAACTTTTTTATCCCTTAGGAAGGCAGGAGGATAACATTCCCCAAGCAAATTAGAAGAGGTATGATCAGCAGGTTAGCTCCCTGCTGGAGCAACAAGCAAGTCATAAAGAGCCTGGTGGGATGCTGTGCAGTGGGAAGCAAGAAAGGAGAAGGGGCTCTGCTTGGAAAGATGGAAATGGCAGGAAAACAAAGGTTAAGAGGATGAGAGAGGCTTGGCAACTCTGGAAAAGTCACCAAAATGCCCCATGGAGGGAGGGGGCACCCTGCCAGCCCCACGCAGGGCTTTCAATTATCAGGTGCCCACTCAGCAGCA